AAATCTTTATCAAGTTGGACATTAAATGAAAGAATAACTCTATGAATCTTATTTGATGCCAGTGAAGCCTTTAAAATATCTTTCTTTTTAATTTTACCTAACAAAATATTTCCAATTGGAATATTTTCATTTTTAAAAAAGCTTACTAAAGCTTCCATACTTCCAAGCGTGTTAGCTGCTATTGTTACACCATATGAATCTTTTTTTAATTCAATTAACTGTATTTCATCTTCAAGTTTTTTAAAAACTTCCTCTTCATTATCTTTAACAACATATAATTTAGAACCAGCTATTGCATTTTCTAAATCATACGCTGCTATCTTCACTCCAATACTAGCAGTTACGCTTTTAACCATTTTATAAACTGATTTGACTCTCAATTCTTTCAATGATTCTGGTACTAATATTGCTCTTATCGTTGTTACTATTGGACCTTCAAATCCATTCAGGCTACTTTATCTCCTTCATTTAATTTTCCATTACTTAAAATACAATCAAGTGTTACTCCAAATCCCTCAACATTTTTTACTTCTAAAACCGTACACTCTGTTTCTTCCTTAATCCTCATCTTCTCCAACATAAACTTATATGATAGTTCTAAAAATAATTTAACTAGATCAGGTATTCCTTCTCCTGTTATAGCAGAGGTTGGAACAAGTGAAATAAACTTTTTAGGCTGATCATTTTCATTAAACAATTTTGTATTAATTCCTAATTGGGCCATTTCACCCTTAACTCTTAATAACTGATCGTCAAAATCATGTTGTGTTGCATAATCCTGTTTATCATAGCTAAAATTTCCATATTCATTACTTTTCCATTCATATATTCTATCTAACTTATTCAAAGCTACAATAAAAGGTGTTTTTCTCTGTCTTAACAGTTTTATACTTTCTATTGTTTGTGGTTCTAATCCATGAACAATATCAACAACTAAAATGGCTAAATTACATAGTGATGATCCTCTAGATCTTAAGTTACTAAACGATTCATGTCCTGGTGTATCAATAATTAATATTCCAGGTAAATCTGGAAGATCTATATTACACTTTTTCATTAGCATATCAACTGGAAAAAAAGTTGCTCCTATTTGTTGTGTTATTCCACCAGCTTCTAATCCTTGAACATTTGACTCTCTTAATTTATCAAGTAATTTTGTTTTTCCAGTATCAACATGTCCTAATATACAACAAATTGGACTTTTAAAATCCTTAATAACTTCTTTGACTTGTTTATCTTTCACTACTTCTTTTTTAGTAGGTTTTATATTCATTTTTAAAACACTTCTTTTCATTTTATCAGCCTCTTGTTGAATTTTGATCTGTTCTTCTTTTTCCTGTTCTTTTTTTTTCTTTTCTTTCTCAATCTCAATTAATCTTAATCTTTGGGTCTCTTCTTGTTGTTTCTTCAATTCAGCCTGTTTTTTTATTTCAGCTTCTTTAGCAGCCGCTTTTGCCTTAATTTCCGCTATTGTTAAAGGCTTTCCTTTACCTCTATTCATTACAGGTGTTTTTATCACTTTGTTATTTACATTTAACTTATTTAATTCTTTATTACTACTATTATTACTTCCAGTCATTCTATATGAATTATGCGTTAAAAAATTTAAATA